TCGAAGTCGTCTCTCTGTCTGGGTGCAATTTATCTCTTGTCTGGCCTTCTTCATGAACCCAAAACACAGACGTTACAAATCGTCTCATAGGCGTCTTTGTTCGTGTTGCACAACCTGGAGGGGGGGCAACACTCTCTCCGACCCGGCGCACAAAGAAATGGTTAAAAGTTTTAAGTTAACATTTGTCCCTTACTATTTCACAGTTATGATTCTGTATGTAACCTAAGGTCTGTCGTTTCCCATCGTGGTTCCCGACCCAAGTGTAGGTGTTTCCCCGAGCGTACACACACTCCTATCCCGCGCTGCGGGGATACAAAGACGGCCGGGATCTCCCTTTCTCTCCGACCCTGGGTTTAACATTGTTTTTTTTTTATTATGTATTTATATTCGACCTGGTGGTGATTCATCCCGTTATCCTGGCTTTTCCATAAGTTTTACTTTTGTCTTTTCATGCATATACTTATTACTATTAATTTATTTCCGATATCTTAGGTTAAGGGGTAAGTTTCTTGATCCTAGGAATTCGTATTCCTTGGTGCCTGGATGGTTATATAAGCGGAATATAGTTTACGGTGAATAGCGTTAACATTGATGTTATGTGCGATATTATGTATTGTGATGTCTTTAACTTAACTTGTTTGTCAGGGCTTTACTGACACGAAGTTGCATTCCATGGTCCGCAGTCTTTGCCCCACCCTATCTCTGCTCGCCGTTGTTGTTGCCTGCCGTTAATTCAAGGCCTCATTAATTTCCGTCACTCCTGAGTAGGTGAGGGCGGTTGAACCTTGGAGTCAGTTCTGGTTTTTGTCTGCCTGCTTCTTCTTGTGTCCCCTGACCCCGGGAGTTATTATTCTACTTTATGGCCTGTCGAAGCCCCACTCGCTGTTGCTGGGCTGGTGTTGTTCCCGGCTTTTTGCTTACGTTTGCAGTTCGCCGTGCTCTTGATTTCCTTCCCTCTTCAACCTTATATTGACTATTCGCTCCTGTCTGGGTGCGATTCAATTTTGACTTAGGAAGGTTCTGATTGTCATATGCTTCGGGTCGAATTGTATAGAAAGTATTGAAGTATGGAAATAACATTTCATATTGACTTAATAATGGTGATGGTTCAGTAGGCGTAACTTGTGGCCTGGTTTAATTGGAGTGGGTGTGAATATCGATAACTTTAGCCTACCCTGTTGTTAAATTCCGACTTTAACGTTACTTTAATAGCAATACAGAATAATTGAGCTTTTTGTCTTAACTAGGCGAATGCGAACTTCTGGTGACCCCGCAGCCTTGTTGTTCAGCTGGGTCTGCCTCCTTGAGAGATATACACCACTCTTATTCTCGTCTCACTGTGGTCATCCAACCTTCTGCTCTGGGAGTGTTATTCTTACTTTCAGGTCAAAGGCCCCCTCACATCCAGACGCGCAGGGTTGTTTACATCAGCTCCCCCCCTGTGCACGTGTTCTAACTAGCTCGGAATTCCTGAACACACAATCAGTGATGATTCCTGGCTTTCTGTGGTTGTGATTTAGACAAAGGCGCCTCTGTTTTCTTCCATTGCCTTTGAGTCGACACTGCCCTATTATTTGCCCATGTGCTGAGGTCATAGAATTCGTTTTGACTTCAGTAATATTAACATTCAGTATTGGATTAGCAAATGGGCAATGGTTCATTGATGTAGCTCGCAGCCTGGTCTCCAGTTTGAGCGAGCGCGAGGATCGATAATTTAGCCTACTCTGTTGTTGAATTTCGAATTTTGACGTTACTTTAAAACCATGCAGGATGATTGGGCTTTTGCCTTAACTATGTCTGGCTGACACTCCCACTGTCTCTGCCGCCTGCACGGGTGACATGTGCCCGTTCATCAGGCCTTATCTTCCCTTGAAGCAACGTTGTAAATTCTGCCATCCTAGCCCTCCTCCGGTTCATTACTTAACAACACCTGGTGTTTTGCAGTTTGCTGCGCTTGGTGTGTTTCACTCATTAAAAAACAAGTAAAAAGATAATATATAAAAATCATCAAATATTATTAATCTCAATTATGGAAGAAGGGTTAGTATACAACAGTTCCTTAATGGCTATGTTCTGGATAAGGGGACTCCTGAGTGCCTCTCGATGGATCGGGCCAAATTTTTTTCCTCCAAGCTGCTGCGTGAGATCTGCGACCTGCTGGAAACAAAAAAAGGTTCGCACATCACCGTACCAGCCGCAAATGGATGGCATGGTCGAATGCCTACACCGGACTCTGACCTCTATGTTGAGTCACTTGGTCAGCGAGTCACAGGTCGATTGGGATTTGCATATCCCTGCGGTTCTTGCCACTTATAGGATGACCCCTCCCATGTCCACCGGCTACTCTCCCTTCTTTTTGATGTATGGGAGACAGTATGATCCTCCCATCGACGTCCAGTTGCAGGACGCGCCCGTACCGAAGGTGTTAAAAATTTCTGATACGATTCGGTTCATGATGGGGAAACCTTTTGAGGCGTGGTAGGCCGCCAGTGTTAACTCTTGGGCCAGGCAGCTGGCCAACGAGCGGCTCAAAGGTGCCCGAGTTTCCATGTGCGATTGGTTGTTGGGGGACAGGGCCTGGTTGCATTGTCCGCAGGTGCCAGTGGGAACATCACCCAAATTGCTGAAACCTTGGAGAGGGCCGGTTGATGTGGTTCGGGTCATGTGGCCACAGTGTGTCCAGGTTCAGTTTGGTAAGCAGAGCTGGTTTTTGCACCCCTCTCAACTGAAACTGTTCATCACGCTGTGTGAGTTTGTTTCATTTCCATATTGAAGGGGCCGAGTGTCGCGTGTGGCCAATGAGCTGGGGTGTGTGTCTGCTGACGCGGGTCCTCAGGGGTGTTTCTGTTCTAACCCCAGGTGGCGCGCGACTGATGCCTCGCTCGCGGCCGCTCGTGTCGGCCACGCGTGCTCGGAATGCTGAGGACCCGACGACCCGGCCTACTGCTCTTCGTGAGGAGCCGGCTTCGTCGGGTCAATTTCTTGCCCCCCTCAGCCCTCCCAAGTTGGGTCGAACCCAACCCGTCTGGAGGACCGGCATCACGGACTCGTTCAAAGACTCGATTTGTGTGGTCCCTGCGCATTGCACACTCGTCATGGGCTGTCGCGCTCGCGGAGTCGTGGCGAGTATTTGGCTGATCCTGCTCACCATCGAGCTGACGGGTGTTATTACTCATTGTGGGTGGGAAATGCTGATTTCGTGCGCCACGAATGTTGGTTCGACCGGTCGTTTTTTTGTCTTTGTGTATATATTGTCCAGTTGGGTTGGGTTATTTATTGCTTTGTTATGTTGTTGGAGCACACTTGTTGTTTTGTTCTTTTCACTATACGTCGGTTGCTTACTTTGGGGGGGAGTTGACAGCCAGGACAACTGGAAGCTATGAAGGGGGGGGGGGTGATGTAGTGACTACGCTTGTCACTGTATGGTACCGGGGCTTGCGAAGCCACAGCCGGTAATGTGTTGTCATTACGGGCAGCCCGGGTTACGGGATGTAGTACCAGCCCTAGCGGGGCTTGGGTGAGCGCTGGTTTGCGCGGAGGCACCGCGAGCAGTGTGCGGTTCGGGCTCCCCGTGAGGAACTGAGAGGGAGTGTCAGCCAGCCAGGGTTATCTTGGGTTATGATATGCTGGTTGACTTGCTGTCACGTGACTGGATGATATTGGAAGGGGACCACCGTTGGACGGGGGCCGTGGGGCGGTCACGTGGTTCAAAGGAGCTCTCGGGAACCTTTGAGAAGGAGCTCGAGAGACCTGGAAGGTGGGCGGGGTGAAGGATGGAGCCAGCCCCAGTCCGGGGGCATATAACGAGGGCCCCGTGAGGAGCTCAAGGTTCTTCGTGTGCTGGTGTTACGAAGATCCACGTCGGGGAGAAGAAGCCTCTAACCACGCGGTCCAGGGCCCCGTTTGTGGTCCGGACCGGGATAGCGAACCGTGTCTAGTTCTGCCGTAGCGTGGTTGGATGGGCATTCGAGACCCGAGTGTAGATCGTGTTGTGTTGCGTGTTAATGCGGAATAAAGTGTTGCTCCCAAGATAACGTCTGCGACTCAGTTGGACTCACTACACATGTAACCCTTTTCGGTAGCTGATGAAAATTCAACTTACGGAGAATTAACTTGAGCCAGCGTAAGATACCAGTGGGTGGTGTCACCAGAATCACACCTGGCCGTCTTTGTCTCCCCAGCGTTTTTAAAATTTTCTTTTTTCCTGATGACGACCGCTTGTGTTGCAATCGAAAAGAATATGAAAAAGTCATATAGGCTGTGTTGATCTAGGAGAGGTTCAGGATATCTTCAGATACCAATTAGCAAGAGTGTATATGGCCAGACTTGAATTTGGGTGATTGTAATTGTTGTGTTGTGGGACTGTGCATGCAAGTATGTGGGTGTAACAACTTTGGGGAGCAGTAGTACAGCGGTTAGCGTGTTTTTCCATGAACCTGGCAACCCAAGTTCGATTCCCGCTCACGGCCAACACGAGTGACCAGTCATGAGCCTCCTCTAGGTCAACTCAGCCTAAAATGAGGACCTGGTGCGGTGTGTAAATATTGTCACTAATGAGACAAAGGCGGCCGGGCGTAGTGCTGGCCACCCACTCCCTCGTGTGCCGTGCCGGCCTTCATGGGCGCTCGCAAACAGCACTTGCCCCCCCCCACACCCTGGTAGTGTAGTGGCTGGTACACTGCACGGCCAATATCGGTGATGTATATTTGAACCAATTATGGGCCTCCCCTAGGTCGACTCAGCCTTAAGTGAGTGGCTGGTGCAGTGAATAAATATCAGTACTGGGGAGACAAAGGTGACTGAGCGTTGTGCTGGTAATGCCACCGTCTTGATCATTGTGCCGCCCTTATAGTTGCTCGCCGACAACATTTTCCCTGAGAGTCTGTATGGCTGTACGGAGAACTGTGTAAAACTGCTTTTAATGTTAATTTTGTTGTCCTTCCAAGACGGTTGGTTACGTAGAGTGTGAAAGAAGTTCAACATACATACATAATACCCACCAGGCATGTGCACCATGCGGCAGTTGCAGTTCTCCACCAAGTAGCGAGTCTCGCAGTCGATCTGGCATGCCGCGATGCTGTACGTGTCGAAGAATTCTGACTCGGGCGGCGTGTCCTTGCAGTCCCCCCATGGGTAAGGCAGGTAGATGAGCTGGGCATGTCGACAGGAGGTGTCATCACCATCACCCACATGGTCATCATCAATATCAGCAGCAGCACCATCAGCAGCAGCTCCATCATTGCCAATATCTGCTGAAAACGACTACCCTCAAACAGCTTAGGTTCAGCTTATGTGCAGCACTCGATAGCAGATATACTTAAAACCTATGGCTCATCAGAATAAATATTACTCAGCGATGTAGTACCTTAAATGCTGACAATAGTCTTAATCGAGTGTCTTAAGGATGTCTCTATGCCTGCTGCCCCCTCTCTGCCTGTGGGCCACGGCGGAATGCTAATATTAGCAACTCTAGATGTGACACTGCATGGGGTCGGCCACAAATTACAATTTCGATTTATATGCAAATGTTCCTTTTTATGAAAGGCTATGTGGATTATTGCCATGATTGAAGATGGAGAGGTTTCCCTTTGGAACAGTTTAAACCATGAACACTACGTGAATATGCTCTAAACATGATAATGCGATGAACAGTGAGGACAATAATCTTTTGATAACAAAACTCTTGAATGCAGAATGGAAATTACAGTATGTTCTGGCACAAATAAGCTCATATTAGGACACACGAAACTTTAATCTGTATTCATGGAAATGCATATTGTACATTTTAAAAAATGCCTTGTTTATATATTTGCCTACCTCATGAGATTTATCGTGAGTGAAATATATTTTCTTTGTATTCTTTCATTTGTGCCTATATTTGGTCGCAAACATTTAGATGTTATGTTTGTCAACTAGTGTGCCATGCCAGAACGGCTGGGCGGGAGTTGGACAATACTTTTTTACATTCTTTTAGTGTTTCAAGGAATTAAATGTTTGTCATGTTATCATAATGAAAATAACTACAATAGTAATTATTGCTTTGCAACTTTGTGCAAGTGCTATATATTTTACAGGTATTGCAAAATCAATTAATTACATGCACATGTATTTGCAAGGTCAGTTTCTTTTACTTGATTTTAGATACATGTCAATTACCCTTAAAAGGTGTGAAAAATGCACTGAATTATCCGTATATTTATGAGCAAGTAACGGGAACACCATTTGAACGCTTGTCAGCACAATTTCAAATACTTACATCGTCTCGCGAATATTATCAAAACATACATTTATGAATTGTAATTTAATGAAAATTGGCACATCAGATCGAACTGAAGGTTGAATATAGCATGACAAAGGCAAATATTCCCCGTATAGCCTTAACAGACTTTTGGGGCAAGTGTTGTTAACGAGCACCTATGAGGACTGACACGGGGGTGGGTGGCCAGCACTTCACCTGGCCGCCTTTGAATTTTATAAATTGATTTCGACTCGGCAAGTGGGCAGTTTGCAACGTGTACAAAATAACCAAGTGGAGTGCAAGGGGCACAAAATAATACATCGGATTCACCATTGCACTCCAAGTCCTCATGAGTGAATGACATTCAGCCTCTGTATATTTGTAATATTGATATTCTTGAACTCATGTTTTCACGACAGACTTCATATTTTACCTAATATTTGTATTTGGACATAAGCAAGAAATTATTTCTCTTAAACTGACTTGAAGCAGCCTGCACAAAGTGAACACTCACCCGCTGCTCCTGGCAGGACACGAAGGTTTGGAAACCCGGGGCCACGCCAAAGCCCAGTTGGTCGATGAAAGGTGGCTCATCCTGACTGTGGATCTGCACCTTAATCCCGGCCTCGAACGATGTCTCGTCTGAAAGCAAATGGGGGATCAGGGCACGGGAATACATGGCGCTCACATAACCGCAGCAGCCACAGAGTCGATGCATTGGCACGTGTGCATGCCCACTCACCGGTCTCGCCCCACACGGGCAGATACTCGTCCTGCTGAATGTCCAGCATCATCTCCAGCCCGTTGCCCATGCCACCCTTCATGCTGGTGAGTAGTGGACGCCCATCCTTGCCCGAATTAAAAGTGTAGCACTTTCCGTAGCGGGTGTATACCTTGCTCATGCACACACGCACAGAAAATACCAAATACAGTATGGTTTTGACATTAACCAGTGGTCGAAATTGGTCAAAATTCAACGGTACTCCATACCGGCACTCAACACTAAGAACATATACTGTCTTGTTACTTTTCAGAACGGTTCCTATTCATACACTCCGGTGTTTCCGTAGAGGGCAAACGGCAGTTAATGTCGGCTGCAGGACGAATCAGTTTCTTACTGGCGTCTTCAACATTTCCATCTGGAGCACTGATGTGAACAAAATATGCTATTCGAAACCTTGCTAATGAAGAGCAGCGTTATGACTTTTCTTTTGCATAAGGGTTTATGGTCCATGTTAAAAAGCAAAACAAAAGGACAAATGAGGTATTTCAGACAATATGAAGAGATGGAAGGAGTGTATTTTTACGTATATATTCCGATTTCTCTTACAGGTGACCTTGAAAAAAATAACTGGCAGAAGGCGATTGGGCCTCGTGCCTTGGCTTTGGGGAGCCAGTTGATGGTAATGAACTATGGAACACGTGCTATGGAATGCACCGAATCCACTCGGCACTTGTCACCTGTACCTAGAGTGTGTATAAAGGATGCTTGAAGCACCCGGGCTGACAAATTACATGCCAAGCATAGAAAATGAAAACACGTGATCCATATCATCACGCAGCTATCCGAAGAGCCACATGCTGCAGTGACAGATATCAAACACTAATGGTAGCCGTTAAAAAACCCACATTGAAGCACACCATGGGTTAAACAAACGGATGTGAGAAGAAAATATGGTACGACTGGAAAATGCAGAAGCTCAATTTTTTTGTCGTTTCATATTCCACGAAAAATTGGTGTTTGGTTGTTTGTTGACAGTAAAATGTTAACTTGTTTTGCATTGGTTAACCCCATTACATAAATTACAAGATCCCCCTACCAAGAGAACCCACAGAGACCAACGAAAGCTCGCTTTGCACTGGATCAAATACAAACGTAGATAACAAAGGAACGGTGAAACAGTTATTGGGTTTTTATGTGTTCTTTCTGCAAAGCCAGAAACTGAGCATCAACCCTGCAGGAATAGACACTGGGTACATAAAAATAAACCACAGTTGCATTCTTCAGTGACTATGCGATGTGCACGATTGTGTGAATAAATTATGTGGTGATGTTTAGTTGGCAGTGGTGCACAATTAACAAGGAAACTCGACATTCGATAACGCTGCCTCAGAAGGAACATTTACAACAGAGCGATATATATTTATATATTTAAGGCAGTGTTATTTTTATTTTGTATATGTGGGCATGATGTGATTGTATACAGTAGTTATATACAAAACTGGAAATAAAAATTGTTGTTCATACGTAGAGCAAATACACATCGGGCCTATCCAAAATTTTTACATTAAATGGAAATAAACGTATCTGATGCAGATGTGATGCTAATTCCTCCTGTAATCCACAACACACCGCATCGGCGCAATTTTTTCCAGATTATAAGTCTAACCTCTGTGGTGGATTACAGGATCTGTGACATCTCCCATATCAGAAAGGATGATTGAATTTCTGCTGTCACAGAATAAATTAACTAAAACTACAAACAAGTAAAAAAGAGGCGAGATGCTAAAACAAATATTGTATATACAGAATTCTGAAACATTATTAGGAAGAGAATAAGGAAATAAATCCGGAACACAATATACAAAAAATACTGAAAATGCCACAGAAAACAATGGGAGCATCAAATCAGTAAACAGGTTGATTATTGGAAATAAACAAATTGTAGCTCATATCACAACTTCAATTTACATCCTGAACATTAGGGCAAGAGGTGAAACGAGGGGGCAGTGGGAACAGGGAGAGAAACATGGGGGTGGGAGAATGCAAATAAAATGAGGTCATGGACAAAAATAAAAATGAGTGTGAGGGAAGCAGTTGGGAGGACCAGGGAGAGGTTGGGTTGGGCAGAGGCGACATTATCAGCGGACGGCTGCCTCAACCCAAAGGGAGGCCCAGAGCGTGAGAGATAAGCACAGCCCTCCGATTAGCAGGGTTGGCTACATACGGTGTGAAAGAAGCTCAACATACATACATATGTAATGACAGGGTGCCATCTGTTGACCAGGAGGGATAATCATGAGTATGGGTGTGTTATATACTAGAAGGGGGGCGTAACTGGGGTAAAGGTAAAAGGCGGGGTCAGCAAAGGAAGCTTCTGCTCAAAGGTTCTAGGAGGCGTGGCCGGAGGTTCGGGGCTGTCGTGGGGTCCAGGTCCTGGCTGCCGTCGCTGTATTTTCCGTCATCTCTCCCTGCAGCCGCAGCCCGAAGACGGATGGCGCATGATGATGGCGCAGCTTGAGCTCCTGCGGGCGACGGTCTCGCAGCTTGTAACGCTCATGACGGTGACTGCAACGGCGGGTCATGCTACACCGACCACGCCGGAGAAGGGAATAGGCGCTGTTGATCGGCGTTCCGGCGGAAACGTCCATGGGTCCGGCGGCCGCCATTACACGTGGCGCAGAGAACACGCGGTCTGTGGCCGCCATTACGCAACGCACGGGAAAAACATGGCCGGAGGCCGCCATTTTACGACATGGGCGTGAATCGCCAGAAGCGACGCCCGCTCCAGAAAAATGTGAAAAAGGGACCGATTGGACCCGCCGATTAGCTCCTGTCAGGGAATTCGTCGCCACAGGGGGTGATTGAAGTGCCTTCACCTGGCATTTTGAAGCGGCTTTCCGGTCGGTGAACTGGACCAAGGAGGAGGCACTGTTGACTCTGCCAACAGCGTTAGATGACGAAGCCCTCGTGGCGTTCCGGGCCATCCCCGCGGAGAAGAAGGCTACTCTTCAAGGGCATATGCCAAGATGGCAGAGGTGTATGAGTCACCTTCCGACACACGCAAGAAGTTTGTGCAGCGGAGGTGAGGGGAGGGTGAAACGCCTCTCGCCTACTGCAGTGCGTTGTTAGTGCTGGGAGAGGCGGCGTACCTCGCAGTGGACCAGAAGACCCTCGACTCGCTCGTTATGGGGAGCATGTTGGTGCTGGCGTGGGAGATTGGGGTCGTCCTGCCGGTGGTTGATGAAAATGAGCAGACATCCCGTTGAGCCGCCAGATGTCTGCAGGCCCATGAGAACTTGCACCGGTGGTGCCAGATGGTGGCGTGGACGGGGGAACCCATCCGAGATGGCGAGTCGGATGGCTGGTCGCCGCAATATGTCTGGGGACAGCCAGCCGTGGACCTGCTGCCGGACGGAGATGTTGCGGCCGTGGTCCCAGCGTGGAGTCGGAGTCGAGAGGAGGCCACGTGACGTCCGAGGAGCTGGAGACTACGCGAGGAGGGGGATCGCCTGCTGCGGAGGCCCGTTGTTACCTGCTTCCGTCAGAGGCGTAGCTAGGATATTTTGCACCCGGGGACGAACTATAATATATAATATTGTATTTAAAGAAGCAAATTTATAGAAATTTTATTACATGGCTCACTCAGTCACTGTCGTAGACTGGTTGACATAGTCTAAAAAAATATATTTTTTTCTTAATTTCACTGTCGCAAACTGGTCAATCACGTAATCACAATCTGTTTTTTTCAATGTTCCTCTTTCAACGCTAAGAAGAGCAAGATCGCTGAGACGATCTTGTCCCATTGAAGCACGCAAATACGATAAAATAAGTTTGAATTTGCTGAACGACCACTCACAGCTTGAAATTGAAATTGCTATTGTTAATAAAATTTGCAGTGAAATTCGAAAATTCGGAAATATGTCGTCTCCATAAAACACAATAAAACCAAGAAGATCCAAAGGAGTTTCTGGTAGAAGAACTCCATTCCGGTTACTGAGCAGCATTTTGCAATCTCCAATTGATGTCGGTGTCATAGAAATTTCCAAAATCTGTGCAATTTCGACAAATTGCATCGACATCTGTGTTGGATAGAAGAGTTTTGACGTCCAGCAGGAATCCAAATTTTGTGTTCAGGTCTTTTAGTCGTAAAAACCGTGTTGACATCTCCTGTTGAAGTCGATAAAATACGCTCTTCATAACCCGCACAATTTCTTCTTCTGCTGAAAGTCCTGCATCTCTTGCCAGTTCTCCTGGAATCTTCCGACGTCGCCTAATTCTTATGTCCACATCGATCCCCCAGGCTGTGCATCTTGTTTTGGCGTTTTCTACAGCAACTTGGCTCAAATCATCACGAAGCTTGACAAATTCATGCTCCAAAGATTCAAGATCAGTTGCTGCTTCCTTGAAATTCATAGTAGGATCCTGTAAGCGCTTCTGAACACGATCAATTTTTCCAAGAATGACATTCCAGAAATGTAATAAAACTATGAAGTTAAAATTTAATACGCATGCCTGTAACTGTTCTGCATCACTTCTGGTTTCAGGCGTCATAGTTACGTCCTTCGATAATTTGTCTAGCAGCCCTACTAGTTCATCCAGTCCTTCATAGATAGCTTTAACAGCTTCTGATCGTGCACTCCAGCGTGCATCTTGTTTTGGCGTTTCTACAGCAACTTGGCTCAAATCATCACGAAGCTTGACAAATTCATGCTCCAAAGATTCAAGATCAGTTGCTGCTTCCTTGAAATTCATAGTAGGATCCTGTAAGCGCTTCTGAACACGATCAATTTTTCCAAGAATGACATTCCAGAAATGTAATAAAACTATGAAGTTAAAATTTAATACGCATGCCTGTAACTGTTCTGCATCACTTCTGGTTTCAGGCGTCATAGTTACGTCCTTCGATAATTTGTCTAGCAACCCTACCAGTTCATCCAGTCGTTCATAGATAGCTTTAACAGCTTCTGATCGTGCACTCCAGCGTGTTTCAGGCCGTCGTAGTTTCTGCCACCAAAAAACAGGCCAGTGACTAAGGTTGAAAGACTGCGCCTGTCTGTTGTTTGGGACGTTCTTCCATGTAAGTTCTTAATAGGCGCGCATACCAAAATGTAATTACATGACATGTAGGCTATGTGTGGCGGGATATATACACTTTTAGGTTGAGGTGTA